CCCTCCCATAGGGCCTGTATGCTTCATAAACTAAGTCTCATTATCTCGAGGGCTAGCGAGTGGAGATGTTATATTTAACGAGTACAGTTAATCATGGATTTTGACATGATTTGATCCTGGCAACCTGGGAATGGAAGGCAACCATCTTGACTACGAAGTTACAAATATCCGCTACTATATTAATTTTTTTTATAGCAATTATTGAAGTTATGTATGCCATTGAAGCAAACACCAGTAATGCAGGTTTCCCTCCAATTAAAGACCACTTTTGCGACTGGGGTGTCCATGGTCTTTAGCAGCTTTGGTCTCCAATTAGAATAATAAAAATAAAAGAAATTAATAAAAAATTTGGGAACACAGAATAGTGGTCCTTAAATGGAGGGGTCTTTCATTGGAGGGAGACTTGAACACTCGTTGCATTATAGACGGTCGTACAATTGTATGAAGATTCCAACTTCGCTCTCTGTGAGCGCTAGACGGCGCGATGCTGTCTCCTGATTGTCGGTGGTAGTCTTAAGGGATGGTCTTTCAAAACGATCCGCTACGCACGTGTCTTGCCATTGTGTTTTTCGTACAATCATATCGGCTGACTACCATCAGCCGCAGTGAGCCCCTGCTCCAATATGTATGCTACTTTCAGATTAAATAGCAATAGCAGTTATAAATGTATGAGGCATACATCAGTAAATGAATCACTGATACTTAAAAATTATATTATCCATAAATTTCTTAGTACTATAATAAAATCTGTCTGTCACAGAAACGTAAAACTCTATGAAGTATTATGTCCTGTTTTTAATTTATAAATTCTGAATATACCGGAGTCCCTAGCTAACCCACCCCTACTTGTTACTTGTATAGCGCCTTTCTCTTCAGTTACGAAGCGCTGTAAGCGACTCTCCACAATAAGTAAAAAACATCCCCCCGGAGTAAAGCTTGCATAGAACCAAACCCATTCAAAGTGAGCTAACTTAACTAATGCAATAAAGCACTAGAAAAATAAGAAAACAAACAAAACAAACTTCAGATCCTGTTCTGCGTACCATGAGTGTTTCCTCAAAATCCCAATGTCTGATATGAATGAATAGCTCAACTGTATTAAATATTTATATTTGGATAAGATTTGCTTTGTATTAGGCAGAAATTTGCTATTTCTACATATTATAAGACATAGTTTGGTTTGAAAATGATGATTTCTTTCATGAAATGGTTTCCCACTATGAGAGAGTGAGAACCACTTTTTTTTTTTACCATGGTTAAAGAAATATCTAAGATTTTTCTAGCTGTTGTCAATCTAGTGGTAATATTGTCAACCTCTCCACCAGTCCAGATAAAGTCCATATTTGTTCTTGAATTCAAATCAAACTCCTCTCATAGTGAGACTTATTCACACATTCCAGCTTCTGGAACTCAAAATTTGGTACTATGATAATCAAAAAGAATAGTAAAAAGCAAAAAACAATTTCTTTCACTCTTGGTTGCAAATAAAATAATTTGTATATTCCTTGCAGTCTGTAAAAGAAATGTGTTCTTGTATTCTTTGTTTCTTCATAGGTTTTAATATAACTTATATCCGCGAAAATGTTCATGATGTTTTTGACTCTGGTCATTGGATTCAGAATTAATCACATTGTGCTCCCTGGGAGCCTTGTTTGTTATGCATTTAATTCAACCAGTTTCATTCCAGATCATTTATATTCTGCCAGGTACCTGTTTACCCTAGAGGAAATGAGGAAAATGTAGATAAACTTCTTGCCCAAGGACGCAGGCAATGTGATCAGTGTTGGTCTCGAACCCACGAACTCAAAATTGAAAGCCCAAAGTGTTATTGCTGCATCACTCTTCCACAAAAAAAAAAAAAATTTGAATTTATTTTTAAAGTGTAGCTTAAGTAGTCTGCAATTTCATCTTCAGCAGTTTTCCTGCCAGTTTTCTCACATTTTATCAGCGAGAACAGATAAATAGCGCCCTTATATTTGCTTTATAGATATAGCTGTATATTCATATGGTTTTCATAATCATCATCATCATTTGCTGTAACATGCAAGAATTGAGCATATACAGTATGCGCAGTAGTAATTTATTACTGATTTGTGTGCTTAAGAAGTACATGAAGTATCCAAAGTTTGTCTGATGCGAGATTTTTACAATCTAGTCGTGGAATCTTCAGGCTTTTCTGTATCATATTGTCCGGGTTTGAGCCAGTGTCGACACTTGATGATTCGAATGTAAGCCTGTCGAAAGCTGCGGTTGCGCCAAGCATAGATGAACGGGTTAACACTGGAGTTTGTCAGGGCAAGTATAGAAAACATCTGCCTTAGTAAGTCTGGGGCCATGTAGTTTTTATCAAACACAGTTAGCGTAACAGAGGGCGTCCAACATATGACAAAGGTTAATAGCACGATCAGTAATGTCTTAGCTACTCGTATGTCACGTGTTTTAGGAACCATTACGTTTGCTGATCGGTGACTCTTCATCCTAGCGAATGTAGACTTTTTATCAACAACGTTGTTGACATTACTGATATGTTCACTGCTGGTGCTCGTGGAACGTGTTCGGCGAGTACTGTCCTGCATTTTTTTGTAAATGTTATAGTAGCAGAAAAGAATAACAATGGTTGATGCCATAAACATTATGACCATTGAAACGATCTGGTAGATCCATGCTTCTTCAGTTGGAGGATAAGCGCATATCATCTGGCTTTCGTTGAAGCCAAAATCGCCCACACCGGCAGATGGTAGCACTATAGTCAAAAAGGATATACCCCAGATGGCTAGACAATACATCACTGTGCGTCTACTGTTGAATAAACTTGCATAAAGTTTGGTACGTACAATACAATAGTAACGGTTGACAGAAATAGCTAGCAGATTAATAACGGAAGCCGCTAATGTTAAGCAGGTAATTGCGCCAACAGTCTTGCAGAATGCTCCAGACAGCGGCCATCCGCGATACAGCAAAGAAACAATATAAAACGGATCAATGATCACGCAAATTAAGATATCTGCAATTGCTAAGTTTGCGAGAAAGTAGTTTGTAGTAATGCGTAGACTCTTTGTGCGAACAATGGCAATGATTGTGAGGGTGTTTCCGAACAATCCGACCAAGCCAATGATAATTAAGATGACTACTTGTAAGCAGATAGCGACTTGCATCCCTGGATCCAAAAAACTGAAAGGCACCCGACTTGAAGCAAGTTCAGTAGTGGAGATTTCCTCATCCATATTTTAACGAAGAAAGTTCTTGTCTAGATATACTTGATAATTTCTTGGTTTTTCAATGATATACTGAAACGAGAAAAAAAACATTATTTATCAACCATCCTCAGTGCATGGTTACCAGTTATGATCATTTGAAGTACTTTTGCTAATCAACCGTATGTGCTATCTGTCTTTACTTATTCCATTAACCATCTCAATTTATTGCCGGCGTGAGCTATCTATGTTAGTCGATTGAATGAATTCTACTTAATGCAGGTCTGTGTCATGCAGTCAGTTATCAGGTATTTTAAATTTGGACTTTAGGTGGTTCGCTGATGGGCAGAATTGTTTATTTTTTGAGTAAAGGGAATGCGATGAGTTACGTCTGTTTTGTTTCGTGGGAATGATGTACTGATTATGGGATGTGAGGTAATTCAGGTCTGTTTGTGTACACCACCTGATGTAGAAGCGTTTATTTAGATACCGTGTAACTGATAATTAGCCGATTTTTTTTACTGATGTGTTTAAATGAGCATGGCAGTTGCATGGGTCATTCATTAATGCATTTTTCTTTTCAATAACACATTGTGTCAGGTAAAGGACAGTATAATAACAATATAATAATATTTAAATTTTAAAAAACAGTCGTCGACTGGGTCTCACAGCGCAGTATAAATACAACTAATGAAATAAAAGGGTTGGAGAATAGCAGATGCAATGGAGTACAGTAGTTGGTTGGTTCCAGAAGTCTGGATCAAATAAGAGTCTTGGCGGCGCTACAGTTTTTTAAACTTCATGTTTCTAACATCATTTTGCAAACAGATTTTGTTTATTTTATTTTTTTATATTTGTCTTTTTCGGTGTTCTGACCTTGATGTAGCAGCACTATATACATGCTATGCATATATAAATATTATATAACTAGTATGTTGATAAGGAGTGAAAGTAAAATATCATTTACAAAGACTATTCACATAAGAGCCTCATTAATTATGAATATATATTAGTCCCTAAAAAGGAGGAATTTTTTAAATATATATTTTGCTACAACTGATTTTTCTACACAGAAAAGATGTTTGATGAAAAAATTGGCATTAGTTAATAAGATACAGATTTTTTAATATTTGAAATCAGGTCAAAAGGGTGGTTATGCCCGTTTCCCCCCAGTTTTTTAAATATTTAAAAATCTGTATCTCATTCCATTTGCAAGTTTTTTTCACCAAACATCTTTTTGTGTCTTAGAAAAAGTTGTACAATACATTACATTTTATTTCTCTCTAGAGCCTGGCTTTAAATACCTTGATTTTAAAATCTAAATTATAACATTACGGGTAATTTTAAAAGAACATGTTATCAACTTCCAAATACACAAATAAAAGATTTTTAGCTGATATATTGTACTATAAAACTCTATTAAATATTGACAGACAATTTATGACAATTTGTGAAGAAAGAATTTTTTTTTTAATCTAATTTTTAATTGAAATCTAAGAACCATTGCAACACACTAAGTAATTAATTCATTGATTTTAAAAGAGCAAATATGTTTAACATTCAGAGATACAAATACAAAAAATATATTTTTAGCTGATATATTATAAGAAAAAATCCGTATATTAACAGACAATTTAGGACAATTGGTAAAGAAAGTAAATTTTCTTAAATCAAATTTTCAATTGAAAACTAAGAACCACTGCAACACACTAATTAATTAGTTCATTGATTTTATGTTGAACTTTCAGAGATACAAATAAAAAATATATATTTTTAGCTGATATATCATACTACAAAATCCTTAAATTAACAGGCAATTTATGACAAAAAAGAAACTTGTTTTTAATCTAATTTTCATTTAAAAACAGACAAAGCTACTGCAACACACTAGTAATCAATTCAAATTACTATCAGAATTTGATTATTCACTTGACATTGAGTGTAAGCCTTCTTCAAACTGTAGTCAATCTCTTACTAGGTCACTGTATATAAAGTGATTTGTCAAATGACAGAAGTTATTTATTTATCCATTTAATATTCAGCACAAAAAATCACAAATCAGGAAATGGCCAGAGGAGTGCCAAGAGGACACCGCATACTAAGAGGCAAATTCAAAATCCTTTAAGTCCCCCTGGCCAAATAAACATATAATAAGTTAGGCAAAGATGAATACATAACAGATTGAAATAGCCAATGAAAGATTGATACAATATAAAAGGTTACATTTAAAAGTTAAAAAATGGGCTTACAGGATTTCATTCTGCAAACCAGAACCCTTAAAATATCAATAAAATTTGTGATTAAAAAAGAAAAGAAAAAGCCTAAAAAATGTTAAATTTTATTTAAAATTGGAATAATAAATTACTTTTTTTAAATTTATTGAAATAATAATTACTTCAATGAAGTATAATCTTTCCTATAATTTCAGTGATGAATACTTTCTATACCTTAATTCAAGCAGAATATAATCAGAATTATTTATCTCTATTATCGTTACCAAGTATTAAAAATACTAAGCAAATTGTAAAAGTGTAAGATGCCTTCTCAAGACCAGCATCCATGTCCAAAACCAGAGCCTTGCAGGCGTCAACGTTCCTATGCATGATACACGACTTTTAGAAGTATATATACGTGTATATATATATATACATATATATATATATATATATGTATGTATATATATACAAATTTCTTGAGGGGGAAGGGGGGAAGAGGGGGTACCCAGGAAGAAGTTGGCTTGGGGTTCAGGAGAACTATGCTATTTGCGGCCATTTTAGATTGTCTTGTCCACAAAGAATTTTTTAAAATCCATTTTTGATCCAAGTTTTGGCTGATGAAGTCTTTGCCTATTTGATAGGGAAGAGGTAATCCCTCCATGCTGCCACTGCCTCTGTGTCTCCAACCAGAGACAACATGTGAAGCTGTTTTGCCTGCAAAAGAAGTGCATGCTGACTAGTTTCGAACCATTAAGCCCGTTCCTTGTTTACCACTGTGAAACATGTACGTAAAAGGAGCTATAAATCACTATTCATTAGATGTAAACACTGTAAATGCTGTAGAGTGAACTAATTTTTTTGTCAACAGTGATAAAAATCAATTTTGCATATATTCAAGCTTAATCCAAGTGAAATTATTTATCACATCAACTTTGTATTGGAATTGAATAAATAGAGTTAAAGACATTTATGTATTTCATTGATAAATTTGAATCCAAGTTTAGCAAAAAACTTGCCACATACTAGATGGAATATGAATATATAATTTCTATAAACTGAATAACATCAATGTTTTGATAAATGGATTGAATTTTTCACTATGTGATTGGAAATTGAGTTTAACAACCTTCAATTTATAGGTCCACTCCTGTGTAGTACGTAGTTCTGATGATGACATAAATAATGTCGAAATATTGAATCTCAACACGATAGCATGCATTTCAATACTTATTATACTTTCTAGTCTGTATAAGTGTTGTTGAATCATGAGTGGTTGAATATATGAAACTTTTTTTCTAGGCAAGTTCCATTAAATTTTGTTAACATAAATTAAACCCATTGAGAATTAAAAAAACCATACCTCTTCTGTACAGTATAACACCATAAATATCCAGTTTTTTTTTTTTTAGCATAATTTAGTTTCTGACAATGTGTTAAAACATCTGCTAGTTGATTGTGGTATTACAAGTTTGATGATTAACTGTTGTAGGCCTATAATTTATTCTAAGGAAGGAAGACCGCCAAAAACTGAGGGGATTTAAACCCAATTGAGTTTAACAACTTCCAATTTATCCACTCCTTAAAGTGAATCAAAAGTTGAATGAAATATTAAACTACCCTATGAACTAGAGAGGGCAGTATATATACAACTTTTTTTCAGGCAATTTGCATTAAATTTTGTTAACATAAATTAAACCCATTGAGAATAGAAAATACCATAGCCCTTCTGTACAGTATAACACTATAAATATCCAGTTTTTGGCATAATTTAGTTTCTGACAATGTGTTAAAACATCTGCTAGTTGATTGTGGTATTACAAGTTTGATGATTAACTGTTGTAGGCCTATAATTTATTCTAAGAAAGGAAGACCGCAAAAAACTAAGGGGATTTAAACCCAATTGAGTTTAACAACTTCCAATTTATCCACTCCTTAAAGTGAATCAAAAGTTGAATGAAATATTAAACTACCCTATGAACTAGAGAGGGCAGTATATATACAACTTTTTTCAGGCAATTTGCATTAAATTTTGTTCGCATTAATTAAACCCATTATTAATAGAAAATACTATAGCACTTCTGTACAGTATAACACTATAAATATCCAGTTTTTGGTATAATTTAGTTTTTGACAATGTGTTAAAACATCTGCTAGTTGATTGTGGTATTACAAGTTTGATGATTAATTGTTGTGGGCCTATAATTTATTCTAAGAAAGGAAGACCGCCAAAAACTGAGGGGATTTAAACCCAATTGAGTTTAACAACTTCCAATTTATCCACTCCTTAAAGTGAATCAAAAGCTGAATGAAATATTAAACTACCCTATGAACTAGAGAGGGCAGTATATATACAACTTTTTTCAGGCAATTTGCATTAAATTTTGTTCGCATAAATTAAACCCATTAATAATAGAAAATACCATAGCACTTTAGCACTTCTGTACAGTATAACACCATAAATATCCAGTTTTTGACATAATTTAGTTTCTGACAATGTGTTAAAACATCTGCTAGTTGATTGTGGTGTTACATGATTGATGGTTAATTGTTTTAGGCCTATAATTAATTCTGAAAAAGGAACACTCCAAAAACTGAGGGGATCTTACCACAGTTTATTCTGTTAATTAAAAAAAAGTCGGTCAAATCACTCATGATCATGTTTTGAAGAACATTAGTTCTTAAGTAACATTACATGATCTATTATGTCTTAGGAGACTAATGTATTATTACACTTTATTGTATCAACAAATGCCTTTTAATGTACATGGAAAAATATGTGACGCAGATATAAAGCTTTGACCTTTCTGTGTTTAGGTCATGGGTTCAAATCTCTGGCTTGATACATTGCCTGCATTCTTGGTCTGAAACAGTGGCATATTGAATGGCCTCTGATATCCCTGGCTAAAGCTTATTCAGGGCCTACTGCCCGGGACTTCAGAATGCGTAGACCTCATTGCATTACTGTATTGAGTAAGGCCTCATCTGCCCTTGAGTTTTTGATGATTTTTAATGACATATTTTGATGGGAATTTTTTGGACATTCCACCATTAAGGAGCCCTGTTTCGCTGGTTGGTGGCCTATCATTCTGGCAAAAGAAATGTCTTTTAAGCCCTGGGCCCTGACCTTGGCTCATGAGAGCTCATGTTTGAGATGCCACTGGCCAAAAGACGCTTGCAATGTTTTAGCAAGGCACGTCTTTGAATACATGTATTAGTCTGGTGAGTTGGATTACATATGGTAATCTTGGAATACATTCCCCAAGGACCAAAGGATGATACCCATGTCATTTATACATTACCAGGAATGGAATATTGTAATGAAAGTGCTGCATTGTGTATGGGCATTGTGATGACCTGTCACATCTAGGATTTATTGTTTACTTGTCATATTTTGAAAAGCACTCTGGGCATGATTATAGGGATGTAGGCCTGTAGCAAGCACAATACCATATTATTATTATTATTATTATTATTGTTGTTATTGTTCTTGAGCCTTAAAACTGTTGTGGTGTTTTTAAGATGTTATTTTTTAAATATTGCAATACTATTGTTGCCATTCCTGATGATGACATAATTAATGTCGAAATATTGAATCCCAACACGATGGCGTGTATTTCAATACTTGGAGTATGTATTATACTTTCTTATTGTTGCCATTATTATTATTATTATTATTATTATTACTATTATCATCATGATTATTATCATGATTATTATTATTATTATTTTTTAAGTTATATCTTGATAAACCAGTAATTATACTAATAAATTGGTTTATCAAGAGATAAACTTTTCAATGAAAAATATGAAACTAGATGAAATGCTTTGAGAATCATTTAGTTATTATTGTTGTTCTTTATCAATATTATTTTCTTTGTTGTTGCAGATTTTGTTATTACTACATATAGTAGTAACTAATGATAATAATGCATCATAAATACCAAAAGCCATGCGTATGGCGGATGTGTTTTTGAAAGTCTCTTGTATGCACCTACGCATATGGCACGCACAAGAACAATGTTTACTTCAAATGATTGAGTAAAGGCAGTACACCTGCTGCCTACCCATGCAAATCCTTGAAGGTGTGCAGTATCCTATTCTATGTATCTTATTTTATTTTCTAGTACTTTTATTTCTATCATACATGCAGACTGTGACCAAATGTATTTCTTTATAGTTGACAGTGATACTTGCAATATAATTTTATAGATCCTGCACACTCATGACCGTAAGCATAACATACACACACATACTTTCACAAACACATCTGCTCTTCTTCTGGTCGATTGTTATTTAAAGTAGTGAGAAAAAAAAGTGTCTTCTAAGAACTCACACAAACAATATGACTAACATAAACTTGAACTAGGAACTCTAAAAAATGTACTGTACAATAATATTAACTTTATTGGTTCTTAACTTTCCTACATTCGTAACAGTGGCACTTGCCGTGGTAATGTTGATAAAATAAAATGAATGGTAAAAATGAGGAATCTTTGAATGTGGAAAAAGGTTGCCACAACTAGGATTCGAACTCCGGACCTTCTGCTTCCTATGCAGACACCTTATCCATCTGTTCCGATTAGAAGCAACTGATTTTTACACACTCTTATGCAAATACAACTTAAGCTTTTCAAACAACTAGACTGGATCTCCAAAAAGATATTTAACCACATAAGATCGTAATAAAGGTAACTGTACTCCGAACTGTATTGCGAT